AATTTTTTTAGTTATGCTGTTCTAAATAATAGTTAACAAAATGATAATTAATAAACAATAAATGAATTTTATAATCATTATTACTATTACCACTCTATTGTTTCACATTTTTATTTCATTAAGTTTTATAATACAAAACGTAAAATTCTCTATATAATCACTGCACGTTATTTTAATTATGGTGGTGATTGTATAGAGGTTTTATAATTACAGTCACACCTCTATACAATCACCATTTTGAGGTGCAACGGACTTGGTGAATTTAAGGAGGTCTGACTGTACTGGGAATTTCTTGCAAATGGGAAACGAACGTTTAAATAATACTCAAGAATGGTTAATAGGTCTCAGTTAAATCTTTTGGAAAAAAATGGGGCAAAAAAAAATCCAGAAATGATGAACAAGAAGAAGCGGAGGATACTAACAAGGTAAAAAAGTTTATTTACGCCTTTTTCTTTTAGAGATATCTGGAAACGGCACAAACGGTACAGCACCAAACTTTTATGATTATTCGTATGTCACCTAGCTACAGATAACAAGTCTTATCACTTAAGAAAAGACGAAATATCTATTATAATGAGGAACGGATGATAAAAAACAACATCAAGATGGATACTCTACACCATCGCCGTGTAGTCCAACATTACATTCATTGCCAATAGATAATTCATTTGTAGTGGAAGAGGACGAGGACGAAACTATAATAATTGATGTAGACGGATTGTGCTTCAATTATGGGGATCCAGAAAATGATCCTAAGATAATATATCTCAATTATTCCGGAAATATCAGAATGTGTCAGTAAATATCGCAAAGACCGATGGTCTATTCGTTGAATCAAACGTACATAAAATACTGGCACTGTCTTCGATTTTTCTGCTTATTCCAGGCTCTTACCCAAAAACGATGGTCAACATATTTTGCTTGATGAAGTCTACCAACAATTCAAACCTGTTCAGCAAACAGAATTAGACTCAGAATGTAAATCAAATTTTAGGAAGGTAATCAAGCAAGCAACAAAAGAGTCGCGTCGCAGTGTCATAAAATCACTGCTAGCAGAACTTACAAACGATCAAATGGAACATGGATTACGTTATCTTGGAAAATCTGAAAACGTTGCCGACCGAGAAGATTAAAAATGAGCCAAGCGAAATTACGTTTAATACAAATTATCTGGACCGCATCATGAGGAAAATATTTCATGATCCAGACAAACATATTGTTGGATGGCCCAATACGGGTCTTGATGAAAGTAAGGCAAGGAAATCACAAGGAAGAAGCAAACAACCGGACTTTGTAGTATCTATTATCCACCAGCCACAGAAAAGCGGTGTTATATTTTGTGGGTAAAGTCAGTCCACCTTTAGAAAAAATTGTGTCTATGAGAATTGCAATGATCTAATTCGTGTTGGTGTTTTTATGAAAGACTGCCTTGATTCGGCCATAGACTTGGGAGCTGACATAAATTGTTAGGTTTTCAGTGTGTTGGTAAGAAATTATAATAGTTGCTTTTTTTCCCACAATTTTTATGGCCAACTTTTGGGACATTGTAGCTTATACATTAGACTTCTATATTCAAACGCGATACCCTTGGAACATAAAATTTAAACAGGTTTGTTAGAAAGACACGTGACTGTCACAGAAACTGTCCATTCTGATATGGATGTTTTTAGAATAGGGAAATGATTGACATACTCAATTCACAGTTAAATTATTATTAAACCCTTGTATAGTGACATGCATTTAAAGTTTTATTTCTATTTAATGAGACCCAATTCTCGAAAGTGCTCTGGAATAACTATATATGGGTCTTCGTAATACCAAAACGATCCAGTTTTCTTCACTTGAGTTGATCCCGTTCTTGCTGTTTAATGAAATTATTAGGATTTCCTATGAAAAAATTTAACATATTTTTCGTGCTGTTCCCGTCGTTGTACACTCCCGTGGCAAAAGTCACCGACCACCCCCTATATTTGCAATTAAATGAAAATATTGGCATAACTAGCAATGCAATCACCGCAAAATTAATACCGAATTTAGCGCACCTTCTAGATAGTATATACACAAAAAATTGCAACATGTTAGGTAAGTAAATTATGAATTTACCTAGAGCTGACTTTTATTCTACGAAAAAAGTAAAATTAGGTTACGCGACACAAATGTTTAAAAAATCGTTAAAAAATAACCCACATATTAAGTTACACTCAATTACATTCATTTAAAAGTATAAAAGAAGCGCTATCGTATTTATAAAATATTGCCCAAATATCTTGCTTCTTTGTTGAGAAATTGGATTTTGAATCTAGGATACTATTCGATAGTCGCCGACACTCCTTAAATTTGCAATTAAATGCAAATATTGACATAACAAGCAGTGTAATTACCGTGAAACTAATACCGAGGTTAGCGCATCTAGTCTACAACAGATTTACAAAAAATTGTAGTGTATCAGCTAGTAATATGATAATATTTATATACACAGTCACTCTCGATAAGATGATCCCCCGATAAGATGAAGTGGCCTAATATGATGCTTTTTCCCAGAACCAAAACAGTTATAATAAAATTGGGCT